TTTAAAAATTCTAGATATTTTTTAATATAGACCTAGAGATCTAATAATCTTATTTTAATTTTATTAAATAATAGCTTTAAATAGAGTTTAATACAAAAAAAGAAATATATATATATATATATTAGAAGAGTAAAAAAAAATCTTTTATTTAAGATTAATTTAAATAAGTGGCTTATAAGCAAACAGGAGAGCCAAAAATTATATATAAATATTATTTTATAATATTTACTTATTCTTATATATAAAAAGGAGGAATATTATTTATAAAAACCTATTTTAAAGATAGCACCTGCCACACAATACCTAAATAAGCTATTAATAAACTAGTAATATAATAAATAAGTATTAATCTTTAGTTAGATCCTTTATAACTAATAAATATTAAATTATCTAGCTATAAAAATCTTTAAGTATCTTATTCTCAGATAAAATATTTACTTAAAATATTCTATCTTTTATTTTTATTATATATCTTTTATTCTGTATTTTTGACTATCCTAAGTTCTAATATTTTACAGATATTTTAACTTTTGCTTTATTAAAAATTAAGTTATTATTAATATATATTATTAGTTAATAGTTATACTCTAAAATTTAAAAAGAATAATAAAATATATTTAATAAACTACTAGAGGATAGTAAACTATCTTTATTATTTAATTATTAGATATTACCTTTTAAACAAGGATTTATAACTATTACTAGCTACTTCCTAAATAAAGATTAAAAATACTATAAGACTCTTTTAGGTTTTAAGCCTCTTAAAAACTTATATATTAAATAAAATTTAAATTTTATAATAATTAGGGTCTTTAAGTAATATAAGATTATTAATTAAGTCTTATTAATCACAACTAATAATATTATAAATAATAATATTATAATAGTAGGTATCTAGAATAAACTTAAAAATTATAGAATTAATAATAATAGGTTTAATAATAGTATATTCTATATTCTTTATCTTACCTATATAATTTAATTAAGTCTAAATTAGCTTCTTAGAAAAATAAAAGCAGTATTATCTAATAATAAGACAAAAGATAAGTAAGATAATAATTATAAGTATTTAATATAGAATTAATAGCTTAAAAAAAGATTATCTATATTTTAAATAAGATAAGTTCTTTTAAGCTTTATTTAAAAAATCTTATTAATTTATTAATTTTTTTTCTTTAAATCTGTAATCTTGCTATTTTTATTAATATAAGCCTTTAATATTATAATATATTTTTAATAATTTAGGCCTAAAAGTCTCGCCTTTTTTTTTAAGATATCTAAACTTAATAAAATTTAATCTTTCTAATATTTAGGTATACAAAAAGACTACAGGAGAGCTTTGAATAATACTATATAATTTATAATTATTTTTATTTTTAGCTAGACAAGAAAAAATAGTATTAAATTAAGTATTTACTTTATATTATTAAGCTGTTTTTCAGATTTATTACTATCCTTTTAAAAACTAAAAAACTTATTATTTATTTTATTTTTAATATTTATAACAAGCTTTTTAACCATCTAGAGAATTTTAAGATATAATTATATTAAAAATAGCTTTCTTAAAAAAAATTAATACTAAAAATATTATATACTATAAGAGAGAAATTAATAAAGTATTATTAAGTAACTAATACTAAATTTTATAGAAATATTTATAATATTATTATTATTTTTATATTATTAAAAAAACTCTGGTTTTTTATCTTAAAGGATTAGTAAGGCAATAATATTAACTAAAATATAAAATATTATAAATATTTTAAGAAAGAATTTCTGTGATATAAATAGTAATATAAAACTAAATTATTTAATATTAATTTTAATTAAAATTTATATAAAATAGATTATAAGCTTAAAATAATAATTAACTTATAAATCTTTTTTTAACAGTTAGGCCTTTTTAAGGAAAAAAATAATAAATTTATTTATTACTTAGTAAAAAATAAGATTAAGTATATTTTATATTATTATTTATTTATTAAGACTAATAAGGTTTTATAAAGCTTATATTTTAGTATTTTTAGCTATTTTAGAAAAAGTATTAATAAAAATTTCTTATTTTAGTTTTTTTTACTTATAATATCCTTTTTATTCCAGCAAGTAGCACAGGTGTTAAGTGTTTTTTTAATTATATACAAAATATCTGTTATTACAGACAAGGCTAACTTAATATAATAATAATTAAAGAACTAATACTTTAAATATATATTATAAAGTTTAAAATTAAATAAAAAAAGATTAATTTTATAAAAGAGTTTATACTTATAAAAAAAATAATTATAATTAAATAAGAGTAAGGCTTAATAACTTCTTTTCTAGTTTTAGATCTTATTAGTAATAATAAAAAAAAAAGTAATAATAATACTAAGGAAATAATAAATATAGTAAATATTTAAAAATAATTATAAAAAAAAAGTTTCTACTTATAAAATTTAAAATAAACAGGATATAAGTCCCTAAAAAATAAAAATATATAATAAATATTTTAAATTTATAAAAAGCCTAAAATACTAAAAAGATTCTAAATAAGATTTTTATAATTATAATAATTTTAAATTATATTTTTTAGTTAGATTTTTTTCCTTAAATATCTAGATAATTTTTTTATTTTATAATTTTCGCGTTTTATAGATCCTGGAGATAATTTTATATATAAAAATAATTAAAACTTTTATATATAATTAAAATAATAAAATTACTAAAAAAACTATATAAAAATCTATTTATCTAGCAGGTTATAAAGCTTAATATATTTATATTATTTACATAACTATGGTTAACTAACTAACCACGGTAATTAGCAGATTGCTAACCAAGACCTAACCATATAGTTAGGTGGTTAGCAAAATACCAACTAAAACCACGAATTTTGGTCTTGGTTAGTGGTTAACCATGGTCTTGGTGGTTAGTGCCGCAGTCTAGTCACACCCACCATTAACTAGCAGGCCTGGCACACTAATAAGATAGTAAGCAAGGCCTCTGCGTTTTTCTCTACTCATTCAAACACACAGTGTTAAGGTCATTTTCCGCGGCGCCGGGTACTGATAGTAAATTTATTAAACAAACTAATTTTAGCCTTGCAGAGAATGAGTCTTGAGGTACTTGATCCGCTTATGTGTAGCTGCTTGGGGACACCAAGCTAATTGCACAAGGGAAAGTAGACTTAAGACGAGTTGATTTACTGTTGAATCCTGAAAATGGGTCTCCCAGTGGGCTATGCTGGGGCTGTTAGATCCAGCAAGCTGTGGAGGCGGACCGAGGAAAGGAGAACTTGGGGTAATGTGGCTACTTCCGTAGAGCGGACGGATAGGGCGGGCTTTTAGAGTCATAACATGAAAATGAAAATCAGCCATGGGACCTGAGAGCAACGATAAAGAAGTAGAATGTAGAGTCGTTGGAAAATAAATATGGCATCAATGGTCAAAATATTAGACAAGATAAACACCAAAAAAAGACCATCTCCCTGCGATCTGCAGGAACTGGTGTACTTGGCACGAGCAAGCGGGGGTGACTGACACCAGGCAGCAGCTTGGCAACTCCCCCACATATGTCGATCACCTAGAGGGACACCTTGTCGATGTCGAAAATATTCCTCCGATTTTAGAGAAAGTATTTGTGAATCCTGAACTAGCCGTTGGTCAGAATTTACTGAAGAGGGACGTATTCTCTGTGGAGAGCTCTTCTAGCTATATCTATATCTACGAGTAAGTATCCATCTGTGGTATTTCTTAGCTTAAACTCACAGATTATTAGGTTTCTACGGCCGGAAGACCACTACCGCGGGTTTGCATACCTTGAGCTGAATGCAAAATTCATTAGAGAAGAAAAGAGACTCTTCAGGCTTACATTGCTCGTTGTGATCACCACCGCTTTAATGGTCTACACAGGTAACAGAGCATTCCATAGCTGAGAAGCTGGTGTTGGTCTTGGGGCATTATATACGTCTTTGGTTACCTTATGGATCATGTTGGATGAATGACATCTGTCGTGGTTGAAATGCCACATTCTGTCCTCTCCCGCATCTCCTTATATGAGCGCTGCGTGCTGAAAGAGGACCTCTTCTCACCATACTTTCATAACTTTACAAGACCACTTGAATTTAGGAAAGTTCTTCGTCACAAAATAATTATCTCTGAACGCAGTACATGGCCTAGTCAAGCCCTTACAATAAGCCACCCTCTCCCAGTGCGGGAGTACAGTCATTCCTCCCCAACGGGCCCGAGCAGTATGCTGCAAATGCATATTTCATTTGCGTGGTCGTCTGAATCAAGTGTATGTGGGCCCTGCCTATTATCTTGTTCCCATAAGCCAAGCGCGACGAAGTGGAGCGGCACAAGGCTCTTAGAATCTCACACTGACCCTTGCCAATTTCCATGCTGGTCTTCTTGCCTTGGGCAGTGGAGACGACTTGTGATACTACAATGGCCGGAAGCAATGAGATGGGAAATCGTTACCATTCTGTTGCGATTCGCGACATGGTGTCATGGCTGCTGCGGTGCGCTGCGGCGCGCTGCGGCGCACTGCGGTAGGTGGCCCACATCCTGCAGGAACTTACTTCGATTGGCCGCTTAGGCCCGCATTCATGAGACGATCCCGCACACTCTGTGTGTGATATGAGCCAATGAAAGCTGCCTTGACGCAGGCTAGGAAGCAGCGCCAGATGACAGGAAGGATGATTAAGTAAGAAAACAAACTCCCCGGGTTAGATAGGCCCGATAAGAGAGTTAGAGCTAGACTATTAGCTTGATGATGATATGGAATCCGGTCTGCGAAGTGAACTCCTGAACGCCTTTTGAGAGGAAAGCAATATATCTATGGAAGAAACGGATCGATAAGCTATGATACAGGTCCATCATTTGCATCAGAAACAGAAATTCCTTAATCCCGAGCCCTTGTTCACGGTGGCTGCTCTTTGCACCCTCTGGAAGGAACATCCAAGCGTCGTTGCATATCTCATCACCACTTACGCACTATGATGTCGGCAGTCATTACAGAGGCTATGTGACAGTCGAATGTATATCAAATGCGTGCCGCTGAAGATGCATTTTGCACGAGAAAATCTCACCGCAGACATCACACTTTATCTCTGATTGTGTGGAGATATGACAAAGATACTTTCGCTTAATATACTTAGTAATGTCTCCATAGCTGGAGAATCTATAAGCTTGCTTTTTAATATCTAAATTTTGCTGACTAAAGCAGATAAAACAGAAGAGAGGCCTCTTAATTCCCTTATTAGAGGGCTTGTTCTTTATTACTGATTAAATCACAGATACTAGTCTGTTATTTGTTGGGAAAGAAGGCCGGATTAACTATATCTCTCCTTTAATATTATCACCTTGTCTGGTAGCGGCGGGCTCTGTAGCAGAACACTTATCGCGTGAAAAACAGCAGATATTATCTTTTTTAAAAAAAGTATAAGCAACTATAGCATTAATTATCTTTATTTATCTAGCCACTTCCTCTTCGAGTATCAGGCGAGATAAGATAAAAAGGCTCTTAATTAATTATTTTTAAGATACTAGTACTACTTCTGAATACTTGAGATATTTTTCTTTTTCAGCTAAATTAAATTTAGATAGCTAATATCTGATTTCTAGTATTAGTTACTCTTAGTTATATTTTGCTTAAATCTCAGTAAGTAATATATTTTGTGCTTATTGCCTATTACCTGCGATCTTTTAGTTTAGCTTCTTATATATTATATATTACTCTGTCCTATAATAATTTAATAATAAACATCTTATTTAATAATTAAGCTCGTCACGCTTGTAAACTAGGTTGATAATTTCCGGATATTAATTAATAGAGGATGATTGCGCTATAGTTAATTTCTGAGGGTAATTCGGATTAATAGACTGACTTATCTAGCACATAGTATATATAATATTGTCTTTAAGATTAAAACTGCAAATAATCACAGAGAGGTTTTTATTAATTCTTTTGCTAAGATAATAGCGTAAAAAGGTGCGGGTATTAGTATAATGTATAATAAGGTTATGTAGTAAATCACTAACAGATCTTAAGGCGCGTTAGTTGGTATAAATTAAAGTTTAATTACTAGAGTAATATACTGCTGCTGTCTAAGGCTGTCCCGGCCCTATATTATAAACTATATAAACGTGTGACTTGCGGAAAGCCGGTGATTACCCCTATTTTTTTAACCTAAGGCTTAATCATCGTATAAGGAAGCGGCTTATTAAGAGATATAAAGATACCTTATAGAGTTTATTCTAATATTCAGAATATAGGAATATTATCTAATGCTAGATTAATTTACAGCAGAAGCTTATTATATTTATCGCGGATCTAAAGCTGTGGAATCTGGCTTGCAAAAACTGTAGGAATTCAGCGAAACTCCGGATGCCTATCGGAGCGTTCCGCTGACCTATCCCAAGATGATGTCATTCGATCATGTTTTATGGGAGGTTCCATTAGTTGATCACCGCCTTGATCAGCATAAATAGGGCCTTTCTGCGTGTATTTAGAGCTTCACCACCAACAACCTTTCATCTATCTGTTTTCTAGTCAATTGAATTGTTCTATCGTGGACCACCCCCCTCTGCCAATTTCCTACAAAAACAAGTATTTCCTTGTTTTTAATACAGTTAAAAGCACAGTCTGCAAAAATCAAGCCCAGGAAGAAAACATAAGAACTAAGGATAAAAGAAAGATCAAAAATAATCTTAGAGAGAATATATATATTACTAAAAGACAGATCAGATATGTAAATTAAACAGTCTCTATAAACTTATATATCCTTTATACTAAGCTATTCTTTAGTGAACTCAAAAGTAAACTTAATAATAATATAATAAGGCCCGCCTTGCGGGTCACGTAGTAAGCAGACTTGAATATAATAATACTAAAGATTTAGAATAGCTTAAAAATAATTAGTTATTAGGCTGGCAAGCTATAAGAAAAGTACTAGTTTAATATAGTGATAATTATGGCCAAACTTTTTCTTTGTTATACTGACTATAATCTCTACCACCTTAATTAAGTTTTTAATATCTATCGGAGGCTTATCGCGATCTTTTGAGGACAGCTTGTGTTTTTAGCTAGCTGTTGGATTATCTAGATATTATAGTAAATTAGCTTTATGTTCCTCACGAGGTCATAAAGAATTGTTTGTATTAAAGTTTTGTGTTTTTAAAAGGACCTTGTTTAAATATATATAACGCATCTGGCGGTTCATTTGCTTTATAATCTTGTTTAAAGTCTTTCTTTTATATACTAATCGAAATACCTTTCAAAAGATATTAAGCAAGCTCTTACACTTTGTACCTGGAAGTCACCTTCTATTCTTTCCGCGCCGTAGATTAAGGACCTAGTCCAGAAAGGTATGTATGATTATAATCAATAAGCGTGCGAATTCCTCCCGGGTGTCTTTCTGAAGAAAGGTGCAGAATCTGTAGCGATTAGAGTCAGGCGAACAGGATCAGTAATCAAAGGGGTATACCATACTACGACCACTTCTCTTCCACCCGATTAAGTAGGGCAGTGGTGCCCTTTCCATAGTCCTCTTTAGTATAGTCTGTCTCATCGAAGTTCGCAAGTTGCTAGATATAGTACTCTGGCGGATGCTTGTTATCCGTAAAGAGAAGTGCTGTATCACTAATATTTTTGTCTTGCGAGCCCTTATTCTCAGGCTCTGTTAAGTCTGTATTATATTGGCCATCTTCGGTACTCTCTCTTTCGGAAGAGTCGCTATTATCGGATAACGGGTCAACTATCTTTCAGTGTAGGCGAGTCATAGTGCGATACAATGCAGTCGACGGCAAAATGATTTTTGACGTAGCCCTCCTGCTTCAGGTTTCTATGGCACAGAATGCAGAGGGTGGAGTTGGGGAATCAATAGAGGAATTAACAACGATCGAGTGTAGGTAGTAGCAACGGAGGAACGAAAGGGTGCCTGAGGGGGCGGCTACCACTTTTAATGGCGCCGTCGAGAGGGCACCATTTTTGGCGCATTTCGGAAACCGCAGCGAGGTGTATGGGAAAAGTCAGTATTCGCCGGCCTCAGGAGAAGAGTGTGCCTGGACGTATACTGCGCTGCGGACAAATGAGGTTTGGGTGGGTCAACGATCCTTGCTTGGCGGTGCGTGGATGTAAGTGAACGGGGGAGTGGCGGAAGGCGTGGCAGATAGACGGCCAAAAACGGCGTCGACTGCGGCCGTTTTGGGCAGCCCATCTGCCGTCTTCTAGTTTAAAAGAGTAAAAATATATCTTTAAAATCTTAGAATTTTATAAGAATATTAGAGCTCTAATTAGATATTTTTTATACTAGGGGCTTCTTAAAAGACTTTTTATAAATTATTTAATTAATTTATTTTATAATAATAATAAAAATTCTTTTTCCCTGTCTCGTGTATGCGGCATAAACTCTTATAAATATTATATAAATATTATAGATTTAAAGGGCCTTCAGGGCCTTTAAGTTAATTAAATAAGTTTAAATAAGGATATTATATAAGGCCCGGATCTTTTAAAAATAAAATAAGATATTATAATACTTCTAGTAATATTAGTTATTAAACTAAAAAATATATTTAATAAAGTTTATCTTAAAATCATAGGTCTTAAGCTAGAGAAATCTAATTATAATAAAAAAATATATAAGCTAAATAATTAAAAATAAAATATTTTTTTAATATAATTATAAGTCTTCAGAATTATACAGGTATAATAAATAATAATATTAGTCTTACTCTCGCGGTTATTAAACCTTATAATTAATTTAGGCTTTTTTAAAAGATATAAGATTAAATTCTAGGCTTCGGCCTAACTCTTATTTATAATACAGGATATAAAATAGCTAATATTAAATATAATATAAGTAATAATCTTACTCTTACCAGGGTTTAGTATAATAAAAATAATTAATAAATTAATTTTTTAAAGTTTTTTCTTAATAAAAAATTCTTTAATAACAGCTTTAAAAATTTAATAAATATATATAAGAAAATTTATCTAATCACGGCTTAGACTAGGTTAATCTTTTTTAATTATTTATTTAGGTCTAGAGAGTATAAATATTCTGCTTAAGAAATTATTTAAAACTAAAAAAATTTAAAATAATAATAATATAAGCAGGCCTTATAAGATAAAATAAAACTAGAATATAAAAAAAAACTATCTCTGGGGAGATAAATAAAACTTTAAGAGGGAAATAAAATATATAATATAATTAATTTAGTATAAATAATTATCTAGTTTAAAGTAATCTTTAATTATATATTAACTTAATTTACAGCAGAAGTATTTATTATAATCTTTATAAATATTATCCTTAAAATAAGAAAATAAATAATAAATTAAAAAAAAATCTATAATATTAAAATTTAGAATAATAATAATAGGCTAGAAAGATTTATTAACTAGACTTTAAAAATAATAACTTCAGATATTCTTAATTAGGGCTTATAAATAAGTATTAGTTTTAGTTAAAATTAAGATAGGCTTTTAGGGTTAGCTATAAAAGTATTAAGTATAATAACTTTTTAATTTTTATAAAAAAATAATAAGATTAATATAATTTTTAGTAAACAGGTTTTAATATATTAATATAATTTTTATTTTTTAGTTAATAATTTTTTTAAAAAAAGTAAAAAAGCTATTTTTAACTATTTCCTCTTTTATAATTAATTATTAGAATTTAGTAAAAAAAATAAAAAACTCTTAGTTTTTTTATCTTAGATTATATAAAATATTCTAGGTATTATAAATATAGTTCAGGTTTTTATAAATATAATTAAGTATTTCTAAAATTTTAATATAGTTTTTTAGCTAGTAAACTCTGTTTTTAATATATAAAAGGACTTAAGTATAAAAAAATCTTTTTAAATAATTAAAGATATAAACTATATAGGCCTAAGAGATTAAGAAGTAGTTATAATTTATAATTATTTTTTTTTTAATTTAAAAAATAAAATGGCAAAGATTTAATCTAGTATTTTTAAACTTATTAGAATTAGATAATTATTTAGAAAGATAAGTAAAGGCAGAAGATCTGGGATTAATTAATATAAATACTCTTATTAAAATAATTAAAAGTTTTTTAATAATAAGTTCACGGGTCTAGTCTAGGATATTAATTATAAATATAATAGCTTGGACCACGTGGTTTTATTTTTAGATTATTATATTCTTATTAGTTAGGGTTTGGATAAATTTAAGATTTAAGCTTTTTTTATAATTTATTTAAAGAATAATAATTTATATAATA